TTTTAATAGACCGCTCAGAGAATCATAATCATTATATTAACTATCATCCCCTAGTTATTATTCTTTGCTACATAATTTGAAGAACATAAAGACCAGCTTTATTCTAGTAGATTTCTCAGAGCCCTGACCAGTCATCCCCATTGCACTAAAGTAGGTTTGCATGTATGCCAGCGGCTTCTGGAGTCAGTCCAGCCTGATTGACCAATGACTGCCATGTTACAAGGCGAAAATATAGAGCTACCTAGGCGCATCTACACAAGCAATGAATACCCATAAACTACTGCCAGGCACAGCATCTACATGTGTGCCCAGGACAAAAGCAAATTGAGTTAGGGAGGAGCAGTTTAGGCCAGGGCTGCTCCTGCCCTGTTCTGTCCCCCTGCAGCAGCCAGGGGGGAGCTCCAGGCTCCAGTCACAGCTATCCGAGTGCCAGCCCTGGACTGGCAGGGGACATGGAGTTCAGCCCAGCTTCCAGTTGGTGGAGGCAGTGGGGCCATCCTAGGCTGGCAGGAGGCATGAGGAGGGTCACGCCCAGGCAGTGGATGGTTGCATCAGGCAGTGGAGGAGCTGGCTGTACCATGAGACTCCTACAGCTGCTGAGCCAGGTGGCTAGGCAGCAGATAGGAGTGTGGCCCCCTGCTGGTTGGGCTGACCAGGAGCAATTTACTCCTGGGTCAGCATCTATATGTGATTTGCTGTGAAGTAAAGTATGCTGAAGGAAGATAGTACTTGTAATTACAAGTACTACCCTGCAGGAGAGTTTATTAGTTTCCTGCTGCCTAATAGCACTGCAAGTATAGACACACTATGTTTACTCCAGAGCTAATTAGGCAACTCCACAGTAAACATCTCTTGTTGATGCTCCCATTATCTCCTCAACCCTCTTGTACATGTGTCCATGATATTTACATGGCTTCATGTGTTTGTGCCTGGATGCTATCCTTGGCTATGAATGAAGGTGTCTTGTTATGGAGGAGGAAGAAGAGAGGAGGCTGCTGCTTTTTTAGGCAGGGATTATTTGCAAAATTCTGGTGACTTATGATCAAGTACTTCAGGATGTGAGTGGCATTACTCAAAGTGAATGCCCTTGCTCTTGCTTGGGTCTAACTCACTCCTTGCAGTTGTAGCAGGCTCACCTTTCAGAGCTTGGGTTGAGTCCCAGGCTTGAGATCCTGCTGCTTTGATTGGTGGAGCCCATCCACCAATCAGGAGGCAGCAATTGAAATAAAGTCACACCCCTTTCTTTAAAGGAGGTGGAGAAGAGCTCCCCCAGACTTGATTGAAGACTGTAAATTGTCAGGTCGGAAGACTTCAGGGACGGAGCCCTGGAGCATATAAAAGGAGCTGCGTGCCCAGTACGAGGGGCAGATGCGGTGAGGGACGCAAGAAGAGTGGAGCCAAGAAAAGCTGGGGAGCTCTCTCCTGGTGGGCAATAGTCCCAAGGCTCCTCAAGCTGCCACGGAGGAGCAGCCTTGGGAGCGGTGCAAGACCACTTGGGCTTTTGATGGCTCACAGGGACAGTGCACAGAGACCCAGACCTGGGAGCAGTGTAAGACTGCTTGGGCCCATCACGGTGCATGGTTTGGTGCATGGAGCCCAGGCTTTGGGAGCTGCAAGCAGGCACTCGAGCCTGCAACCCCGGCAGGGCCAGCAGGCCACACGGTGCCTG